TCGAAACGAGAGAGTTACTCACTAAAACTTGAGATGAAGACTCATTAAAAATGAACGAGAGAGTTACTCATTAAAACTACCTAAGTCGAAACTTTTTCTTTTTATCCCTAAAAGAGCCCGCTGGAGGATTGCTTTGCTTTCTAACATCTCTTTCTGTTATCAAAATGCTCTTTAGCACTAGGCGTCTAGTAAGCGATAGCTATCGCTTACCTAGACAAAGGCCGAAGCACCACAGACACACTTCAAGCACAAACTCGTATTTGTAAATAAATCTAGTTAGAACGGCCTCGGCCAAAGTCTTACATAGCCTCGAGCTCACTAGACTCTAATGGAACAATAATAATATACCCCCCTTGTCTTGCACTACATCGTCACACAAACCCCCACCTATCGCAACCCCAGCTCCTTCTGTCCCACTAAACAATAAGAGTAAACATTAAGCTGTACAGAAACGAACTCAGCGCATACAAACAGGATCAAGTATACCAAAGATTTGCACATTCATATATATATAGAGAGCCATCAACCACGCAGTACTGACAGTAGGGGGAGGAAAAGAAGAAGAAGAAGAGAATCCCAGCTCCTCTTCCCCCCCCTCCTCCACCATCCCCCTCGCTACCTAGAGTATATCAAAAACTCAAAGGTCTACACTCCTTTAAAAATCCCAAAAGTGCTTGTGAGATATGATCATACCGCATCACCAACAGAAAAATACGCACAAAAAAAACCGCCAAACCAACCAAGCCAAGCCAAAAAAAAACCGCGTTGCAGAGAAGAAGCAAAAAGGAAAAAGGTATAGAACAACCACACACACAAAAAAAAAACACGCCCTACACATATTCTTGAGAAATTTTAGTAAAATTTTATTTCGGAGGGGGGTCGTTAAATGAAGAAAAGAAAAAGAAAACAAAAGTCATGAGAAAGGTAGGTTGTTGTGCGAAAGAGATAAAGTATGTTCAAAAAAAACGACAAACAATATTTCGATTCTGTCCTAAGTTCTGCTTTCATTCCCAAAATCTCCTCTTTAGTACCTTTGTTTATCTCTTCCTGCAGCGTCTAGAAAAATGGTCATGTAGATTGTTCTTGCCGAGATTTTTTGGAGTAAAAATCGGAAGATAAAACAAAGGAGAAGAAAGGGTGGAGAAGAAAAGAAGAACTAGAAAGAATAGTCGTCTCTTTCGTGCTTTAACGACGGCCCAGAGCACCTTGGTTGCGGCGGTGGACTGCCGCATGGCGACGGTACTTGCTGCTCTCGGACGAGGCATCGACAGTGACCTCGACCTCCTTGATGGCAACAACGTAGACAGTACCATCCTTGGTGTAGGTAGTGGTGCTGATGATGCAGTCATCGTCGTCCTTGGGCTTGCTGTTGATGGGAGAGGGAGTGATGGCAGGGTAGCTCTGCTCATCCTTGACGGGGGAAGGAGACTGGACGTCCTTGGCGGGAGCAGGAGGCTGAGCAGGAGGCTGAGCAGGAGGCTGAGCAGGGTAGCTGTTGTCGTTCTTGGCAGGGATAGGAGTGGGCTTGACGGCATTGGCCTTGACGTCGTAGACGGAGATACCACCGGGACCCTGTGAGCGAGCAGGGGCGTAGGGCTGGTTGGGCGTAGGGGGCTTGTCATCGGGGCTGCTGCTGTTGGGCTTCTTGTGAGGAGCAGCAGCGTACTCGGGTCCGTACTGGATGGGGACGTTGCCGCAGAGACCGTTGGTGGGGCCGGCACAGTCGTCGCCGTCGAGGAACTTGGGAATGTCCTTGATCTTGCACTGGCTCATCTGATCCTCGGTCTGGAGACGACCGGAGAAGACAGGGCAGTCCTCGACACGACCAGAAAGGTTTGTGCAAGTGTCAACAGCGGACTGGAGCGTGTCAATGTCCCAGCCGTTCTGGAAGTCAGCGTGGTAACCACAGCCTGTTTATGGATTAGCCATGGTCAAGGATTTCACAGTGAGTTGACTTTACCAGTTGGGTCGCCGTTGGACCAGACGAACTGACCAGGCTGGCCCTTGAATTTGTAGGTGTTCCAGATGGTCTCGAAGAAGAGGGTAGGGAGACGCGTGTCGTATCCCTCGGGGCAGACGCCACCATCAATCATGCTGGGGTAGGCGACGTGGCTCTTGTGGTCGGGAGTGTCGAGGTCCTTGCCGTTCCAGCACGAGGCGAACATGATCTCGGCACGGATGCCATCGACACAGTTGTCGTCCATGAAGCTCTTGTCGGGCATGAAGTGGCGGTAGCGCGAGCCCTCGGGCGCCTTGTTGTAGTTGAGGCAGTTGAAGCCGAGAGCCTTTTGGCTGAGGGCAAACTGTGTCTGGTCCTTGGCAGTCCATGAGTAGACTGGCGGGTCGGGCATGGGGCCGGTGAAGTTGCGCTGACGCTGGTCACCGGCAATCATCATGAAGCCCTTGGGGAAGGCCTTGATGTTGTCGCCCAGGAGGAGGTAGTATGCGAGCATACCGCCGACCTGGGGAACCACCTCGGTCTTACCATTCTCGTGCACAAAGTGCAGCGTAGGGGTCCAGTAGGCCGACTTGTCATCATCAAACTGGCAAGATGTGCACTCGGACGAGCGCAGCATCTCGTAGGTGGTTGAGGCATCAAAGTCTAGCATGGGTTAGCAATTCATGTTTCTACTCCGAGTGTTTGAGACAAAACCCGGCAAGCGGGTGGGTGGGTTTGATTTGGCGTTGCTGACAGGCCCGAAATAGATGTTTATATTGATGCGCTCGGACATAGCGGGGCCACAACATGACAGCGGAGCAAAAACGAGGAGATGGTGTATATACGTACTGTTTCCACCGTGGATGGTATGGGCGTGGGCCGAGGCGACGTCCCGGTCGACGATAGGATCAAGACGCGCAAGAGCAATGGGGTCGTGGCAGGGCATGCGCCAGAAGGCGTTGGCGGTGCCGGACAGCAGAGCTACGGCAGTGGAGAGGGAGGCGGCCGACTTCATGGTGAATGGAGCGGGTCTGAATTATCGGGGGTAATAGCGAGAAGGGAGAGGTTGACTATGTCTCGCGACGGCAGCGAGCGCAGGTGCTTTTTCCAATGGCCAAGTAACGTTGGGGTTCCAGGTGGATTCGCAACTTGTCAAGGGGGTGCGAAGGCGTGATCCCGTGCTCTGGTAAAAACAAGGTGAAGGCAAGGCAAGGCAAGGCGCAAGTAAAGAGCGTGGCGCCGTCGCAAAGGACAGCAGAAGGCGGGTCGGGAGAGCGAGTGTTGGGGGTGAAGCCAAAAGGGTGACGAGTGAAGGAGCGGACGCGACTAAGGGCAATAGAAAAAGAGCGAGGGAAATGGGGCCTGAGGAGCGCCAGCGGTTATGATGCTGGGGGGGGGCCGTGCAAAGAGAAGACGCTTTTAGGGGAGATGAAGGCATGCTTTGAGTTAGCGAGGGCGAAACCATGGCTAGCGGCGAGGCCGGGGAGTCCCTGGCAAGGCGCCACCACGCCTGCGCCTGGCCCGTGACGCGCTGCGCACCGGCGGCTAGCCCGCAACGGGTAAGCTGAAACAGGGCCAGCGAGGCGTCTATCTCGTCGCTGCAGCCAAACGGCAGCGCCAGACAGCTTCGTGAGGGCTGGTCGAGGACGTGGTACCGACGGCAGTGGGTGCGGTGCATGCGGTGCCTGGCATCGTGGTGCTGGCCGTCATGGTGCTGGCCGGGGCTGGTGGGTGCTGGTGGGCGCGTGGGCGGCGCTGCTCATCTCATCTCATCTCCTCTCCTCCCACCACCACCACCACCACCACCGCTCTCCTCGCACTCTGCCCAGCACAGCGACTACTACCACTACTACCACCAACCACCAACCAACCGCTAGGCCGCCCTCCCTCGGCCTTCGTCTTGCACACGGCGGCGCGGTTCGTTCCACAGCGCTCCACCGCGTCATTTGCCTATTGGCCGTACTCTAGGCACATGCGTCGCGACGGCGTAATAGAGCCGAACCGGTCGTGGTCGGTATATCGACAGATAGCTTGTGTTGTAGTATTGTCGCTGGACAGGCGGCGAGGCCACCCCCCGTGCGCCCGCGATGCAGTCATCGCAATCTCCTTGGCTCTGTCGCCTTCGCACATCGCAATGGATTTGCGGTTATCGGCAGCGGCGTCCACGTCCCCATCCATCCATGTGCTCCACCAGCCCTCGCTCTTTTCTGTTTGCCCACCTGCTTGTCTGGGCAGCAGGGTCTCTCCATGTGTCCCGCCTCGTGTCCCACCAACAGCCGGTGTGGGTGTCGATGTACTCGCGCATGCGGGCTGACTGCCATAGGGTGCCGGCGGCGGGCCAGCGTAGTCGGCTGCTATTCGCGCGGGCAGGCGGGGCAGGAAATTACGCCAACTGACCCCAAGAGACCCCCGAGGGCGCGGCAATATCGCGGCGGTGCGCACATTTGCTCGACATCTACCTACCATGCTTGGTAGTCATCTTACACGGCGTGCCCATGACATGTGGCCGTTTGTCTAGCTGCTTGGCCGCCGTCTTGTCCTGCGTCAAAGTAGTATAACACATACATATAGGCAGTTACCCTCTTACTCTCGCCTCTCGCCTCTGGCCGCCCGCCTCCCCCTCCCCCCCCCCCGTGTCATACACATCCCCCCTCGCCGCCCCGAATCGGCATCGGAGGGGTGCAGCCTATCGATAGGCTCAAGCGTCTTCTGTTCCTGCAGTAGCGCAACCTGTGCGTCGGCTGGCTAAACTACGAGGTGCGGTGTGATTTGCCGGTTGCTATTGTTGCGGCTTCAGCTTATGCACAGCTGATCGTCTCTTGTCAGCACCCGTTGCTGCTTTGCACTACTGCTACTGCCGTTAGTCTTGCTAGGATTACGATAGGCGCGCGCGCATGGCTGCGAAATTGCATCTTCTTACTTGTGCGTTGCTATAGTGGAATGGGCTGCACAGTGTGTGCCCTGCCCCCGGTCGTGGCCTATTCGCAGTGCTGGGGCAGCGGTGCAAAGGGGTGAGAAATGCCTCGTTCGTGTTAGCGCGCTCGAGGCCGCCAAGCTAGCCGAGTCCAGCCATCCGAGAGCCGCCAAGTCCAAGCGTCGCCCAAAGCAGCCAAGCGCCGCGCCCTGTCCAGCCACTCCATGGCCATGGCCATGCCATAGCTCGTAGCCGTCATCGTCCGCGTGCGCGCCAGACCAACAGTACAGTACATGCCTTTCTCTACTCTTACTCTTTTCTTACTACTCGCAATCACCACAATCCCACCCCTCTTCCAACAAAACCCCCCCTCCCTGTCTCTCCCTCCCCCTACCCGTGCACATACCCCCTTCTACTACCAAGCGCCAACCATCCCGACTGGCCCACCACCCCCAACCCACCACACCCTCATTTCCGCCCGGCACATGAACACAACCTGCAACGCTGAACGTATAGCCACCATGTCGATCCCGCCTACGGTGCGACACGCGCCCGCGGGACAAAAAACAATCGTCTCAACCTTAAAAAAAACCAAATACCCTCGCAGCTACTATCAGCTACCAAGCACACTACCAAGCACAGTTACACCCAGCAGTATCAGCAGTCGGTAGTGGCGGCGGGTCGTGCCTTGGTCTTGGCTTGCCTCGATCGCATCGCAAACTCGGTGTGTGTGAGAGCAAAGAGAGATTAACTTTTTGCAAGTGCCCTTTCTCCTAGCGCCTCCTAGACCCAGTCCAAGCAGCAAACGGGAAGATAGGCGGCAGTTGATGTGTGTGAGTGAGTGAGTGAGTGATGTGGTCATGACGTAAGTATTCTATATGTTTGTGAGTTATGTCTTGTATTATTGGAAATGTTTTATGCATGGATCTCCTGCGCGGCGCTATAAGCTTCTAGAAAACCGATGCCCCCCAGACACAAAAAGTAAAAAAGGGGAGGGGGGCCCCAAGGTTTATCGCCGTGGGCCTCTTCTTCCGACTCCCGCTCCCCACGCAATCATGTAGCCAAGTACATGTGTTTGTGCTAGTGCCATATACTACATCCAAGTATAATCTACTTTACTACACATGACGACAACAGCAAACAAATAACAATAACAACCATGACAATAACCACCGACGGAGAGACCCGCATGTTGGGAGGGTGGCCCCACATGTCCAAGCACACCCTCTTTTGCACCGCCACTCCAACCAAGCCAAAAAGAAAAAAAGCAAATCACACTAAGACAGAACACGCAAAATGGGAATTCGGCCCCAAAAGCAGCAAATTAAAGAAGAAGAAAAGAAATAGACATGATGATCTAAATTACCGCGGACGTTCAAAGGTCAAGAAAGAACACGAGATTGAGGGGGGAAGAAAGAAGATTTGAAGAGAGAGAGAGAGAGAGTGTGTGTGTGTGTGTGTGTATATATGAGGCCCCTACATTTTTCTAGCAGGGAAGGGGGTGTTCCTTGTTCGTCTATAGACCAATAACAAAGAGAGCACATACACATACACATACTCACACATGTATACCCAGACAAACTACAAACCAGCCACATACTTACACCCAGTTAGCTAGACTTCCATAGCATGCCGCGAAAAACCCTAATAAACAAAGATTTTTTCTTTAAAAAAAACTCTCCGTCTTACTTACTCTCCATGACTAACTCAACTCAACTTAAACCCAACTTAAACCCACATCCCCGTATGAAAAAGAGAAAGAAAAAAAAAGAGTCTGTGCGGAGCTGGAAATTTTTATCATTCATTGATTAGATGATACTGCTGATGCTGATGCTGATGATAACGTGATGATTGGATGATGATTGGATGATTGGATGATTGGATAAACGGCTTGTATACGAGGACCGTCGTAAGCTTGAATCTAGAAATTTAGAAATTAAAAAGTAAGATTTGGGCAAGAATTGGAAAGAGATTGGGGGAAATAGATGGATGGATGGATGGATGGATGGATGGATGGATGGATGGATGGATAGTAGCGCTGTGGGTGAATGCATACATGTACATGTACATGGATATGGATATGGATATGGATAGAGAGAGAGAGAGAGAGAGAGAGGGATTTTTTGAAAGAGTGAAAATAGGATAGGATAGGATAAGATAGACAGGGTAGGGCTGGTATGCAATGTCGTGTCATGTCATATCGAGTCAATATGAATACGAAGAAGGTGTGTGAGTGAGAATAGGCTGAAATAACTTAAGAGTAGAGTAGAGTAGACCAGAGTAGACTAGAGTGGAGTGGAGTAGAGTAAATTCAAGCGTCCCAGTATTCTGCTAAGTAAGTAATGAACAACACAGCGTTCCATACATAGATAGATACGTACATAGATACATCTAGACAGATACGATAGGCCAAAATCATACGATGATGACCAACTGACCGTTTTTTCATTCCAATCTTCAAAGCTTCGCAGCCGCTTGACCCTCACCCCCCTCTCGCACGGGCACCTGGCCCCACGCCTGGTCGAAGCCGCAACTCCTGAGCCAGCGCGCGTCGCCGGCCTGGACGCTGTGCAACGCCATGCTGGCAATGGCGCTGCACCACCGCCCCTTTACCGCGAACCCGGGCTGCGCGTCCCACGGCGCACATGTGGAGCTGGCGTGCGCGAGCGCGCGCACCAGTTTGCTGGCATGGCCGTCGTCGTCGAGCGTGCGGGCGCGCGCAATCACCGCATGCATCTTGTCGTCGTCATCGTCACTGTTGTTATTATTGTGCTTGTTGTCGGGCCGAGCGGCCGCGGCGCTATTGGACTCGTAGTAATGCTTGATTTCGCCAAGGAGCAGCCGAGGACTCCCCCTGCGACACGTACAGGCTCACGTCGTGCCATACTTTCCATTCCAGCATCCGCCGCTGCACGCCGGGTGCCAGTGACGACGACGGCGCTAGGAACGCCGAGAAGAAGATGCTGCTGGTGACGCTGTGCATGAAGAAAAAGTCGAATTTGACCGAGTGAGGCGGGTGCTGCGCTGCGGCTGTGAAGTAGACTGTTCAAGTCCCGTTAGTACAGGCATACAGATACCCTGGCTCTTTTGAGGGGGGTTTGTAGACATCTAGGGGGCACATACTACTGGCGTTAATCATCTCAGCCGTCTTCTTCTCAATATCGTCCTCCTCATCAATCGTATATTGAGCCGCATGGCGAATCATCTCTTGCGGCGCTCGCTTCAAAACCCCATGGCGCAATTTATCCACATCTTCATACTTGACCGAGTTCCTCAGCGTGTCGTTGTTCCGGCACTGCTCAAGGATTTCCACAATCGAGGGAGACGATGCCTTTTTGCCTCGATGCTCACGGGCTGCTTTCTCGCACTCTAGAAATAGCGATGTGATCCAGTTGTTGTGCACAGCGGCTTGCGCGAGCGCTTCGGCGATAATGGCTGGTTGCTGGAACTCGATACCAAAGCCTAAATGGATAATTGGATGGAGGACCCCCGAAAACATGCGCACGAGCATGTCGTCTGCGCGCGGCGTCTGGCAAAATACATACTCGTGCAGCGTGGCTTGCCACCCCTTCTTGTCGATTTCCTGCTGGAAGTAGACGAGAAAGTCGTGATAGTATTTTTCCTTGCCGAGGTATGATTTGAAGCGCTCTGGGTCGTGCATGTCGTTTACGCTAGATTTTTCCTAGAGTTTCACGGGACGCTGGTACGACGCGTTTGCATCGTAGGCTTTCTGGAGCTCTTCAGGAGAGGCGTTGAGGGCGAACAGCGTGAGCAGGTGGTGGGTGATGTGGTTCTAGACAGTATGAGCATCTCATGCCACTTGACCAACAATAAAACAAACCTACGTGAAATCCACTCTGGTTGAAAAAAGTATGATACTGGTCATGGTTGGCCTGGAGCAGCTGACTCGCCTTCTCGGCACTCTCAGAAGTCAATCCTTCGACGTAGAACTGAGGCTTTTGTGAAGCCTCGAGATGAATCTTGCATGCAGTCGCCATGTCTCTCCAAATGCCTGGATATTGCCTCGTTTGACGGGTCCTTTTGTAGAAATTGGCTGGCGTGATGGTAAAAAATGCACGTAAAACCCTGATAAACATCTGCAAGGCCAGTCCCCAGCTACCTAAGCGAGGAACCATCTATAGATGTGGATGGTCGTGATAAAGTTACTAGTCAGGCTCAGCCAAGGCAAAGTCTGCCATGCTATTGGTATGACGTTTGCGGGGAACCTGGAATTTCAAACCGCCCCTCATTACGTATCGTCGGGTGCGAGCTCGGTGATTCGGCGGAAGCACGATGCGACGTTAGTAATGCACTGCAACCAGGACCCGTTCTTGAGGGGTAGCGTAGCCACACGTGGATTTGTAATGCATGCTATTCATCGTGTCATGCTTTGTATGAATGCAGAATCGAGACCTCCCAAACACCTTGCTATGCGTAATTCATGAAATGCACTAAACGTGAATCGTACTAGTACTTCTTCGCCTCCATTCCCTCTGGCGGCTCCGGGACCACTTTCCTGCTACCAACATTACTCCAATCGGTGCTCAAGACTGTACCGCCGCTCTCCGAATAACTCTTCATCATGGCTCGCTGCTGCTCGGGCGTGGCTCCACTGTAGAGTTGTTTGAAAAAGTGAGATGTCTCGTCACCTTCAATCTCGTCCTTGTCGTCAAGATCATTCACCACCAGCTTGTCCCAGTTCTTTGCGCCTGACTTGGAGGATGTTGGGTATGCGGGGGCAGTCTCCTTGACAGTGGAAGTAGTGGTGGATGCCTGTGATGTTGCAACAGTGGCTGCATCGCCATTGGCGCGCTCAAGATTGTGCCATTTCACGCCTGCTGTTGCTTTCCGCAGCGTCACCTCGATCTTGTTTGATGTGATCCGGTATTTGGACTGCGAGGGATCGACGGGCGCGAAGAGAGGATCGGCGTTGTAGCTGTATTCAGACGACAAGTCGACAATGGGAAAGGAGACGGCGACCGAGTCTTGCTCAATCTCTACAACAGCCTTGTCTTTGGGCACGCCCTTTGCCATGATGTTGAGAGTGACGGTATCGTTGGACTGGTACCAGTCCGTCTTGATCTTCTCCTTGGGTGTCGGCGCAGGCGGCTTTGGGGCCTGCTTTGCTGCCGAGTCTTCAGATTTGGATACAGCGGTAGACGTGGTCGCGCTGGGCACTTGGACGTCGGGGTCTTCCTTGGTGGTGACGGTCTTCTGCTCGTCGCCCTCTGGTACATCCTTGAGCTTGGATGCGACCTTGGATTCCCAAATAGGCAGCATCTTGTCCTTTTCATCGAGTTCCCTGACTATGCGCAGAAGGAAGTCGGCGTCTGCATAATTTCCAAGGTGGAACAGCGCGACGGCACGTCGGAATTGGGCGTCCTTGATGAGCTCGCGTGAGCCGCGCTTCTTCGCAAGAACCACCGCCACCTCGGCATCGTGCAGGGCTTGGGGGTATTGTGAAGTGCGCTGGTAGGCTGTAGAGCGGCCTATGTAGTACTTGACGGCGGTAGGGTTGACTCCAAGAGCTTTGGTGTAGTGCTCAATGGCCTCGTCGGGCTTGCTTGCGCTGAGCGCAGCGTCGCCTTTGCGGGCATCGTCCATGGCGGGGTAGCGGACACTGGAGCGGAACAAGCGTAGTCGGAGTGATGGGCGGAGCTGCGGGGGCGTTTTGCACGCGTGTCCTCAGCTTGATGAGGGGCGGAGGCCAAATCGAGGTTGGGTTAGGGTTGAGATTTATGGATGTGTCGTCGCAGCCATAGAAGATTCCATGGCTGCTGGGTGCTTCCAGACGCAGGGTCCAATCCAAACGCCGCACTAGTCAGCACCCAACACGGACACCGACACTGCAATCACAATTGCCTGGACCACATATCGACTTTAGACTGCCAGGGTGGACCAAGCAGCCGCAATATCACTGCATAACGTCTCACCAAGATTACTCTGGCTCAGTGCAGCATTGTCAAGTGGTAGAAAATTAGTGGATCAAACCATGTGTATGATTACTACACAATGCTAAAAAAAAGAAGGGCCTGGCGCCTGCAATGTTGGACAGCCGATGAAACTCCGGACACAAATAGGAAAACCAAAAAATCTGCTACAATCCTATGCTATACGCTTGCTCACAGCAAAACAGCCCCACGTGGTATATACCCCAACGCTACTTCATCTAAAACAGAAGCACAGCACCAAACAGAGTGCTGGCAGCAATCATACCCAAGAAGCGAAGAGGAATATCGAGGCCAGCGGCAGCACCCTGGTTGTTGGGGCTGCTGCCGGATCCGGGAGTGCGGGAAGGCTGACCAGAGCCAGCAGTAGCAGTCGACTCGCTGGGCTCACCAGAGAAGTGCGAGCCATCGCCAGAAAGACCAGGACCCTTACCAGCGCCATCCTTCATGTACTGCGCGGCCTTCTTAGGGATGGCAGGCAGGCTGGTACCCTCGACTTGCCAGTTGTCAGACTCCTTGGGGCACTCGGAAGCCTTGCCATCCTGCTTGTAGCCGCCGTCACCGGTAGGGTTGGGTGTGTTCTTGAGCGCCTTGGCAAGACGGTCGAAGTCAGCATTGGGCGTAATCTTGCCGCCAGAGCCGACCTCGACGAGACCGTAGCCGTTGGGCTCAACAGTGTACTCGTACGCAAGACCACCAGAGTAGACGCTCGTCATGTTCTTCGAGTAGAGAGAAGCAATCTCACCCCACTGACGCGTGTTGGTAATGCAGCCAAACTCGGACAGGAAGATGGGCTTGCTGTACGAGCCGTACGTCTTGACCTTTTGGTCCCAGCCAGAGATGGTGAACGAAGAGGGGTCGCACCACGAGTAGTCGTTGAAGGCGAAGAAGTCGGAGCGCTCATCGTCGGTGCCGCAGTTGAAGTAGAAGGCCTGCTGTTCAATGTTCTCCGAGACGTCGGCAGCCGAGTATCCGACGGGGATGGCGCGGTTGTACCTGTTGGCAATGTACTGCTTCATGTCGCGGGTGACGGCCTTGATGTAGGGGGCGGCGTTGGAGTTGTTCTTGGCGTTGATGACCTCGTTTCCGGAGAAGAAAACAAGCAGGTTGTTGTAGGGGGCAAAGGCATCAATCGTAGCAAACACAGACTGCAGGTAGACGTCGTTGTACGACGTGTGCAGCGTCTTGGCGTTCTCACGGTTAAGTGAGTACTTGGGCGTGTTGGCGTCGAGGGCCAGGTAGATACCAGCGTCGTCGAGCATCTTCATGCCCTCGTCGTGGTTCTTGGAGTTGTCGATCGTGTAGATACGGATCGTGTTGATGCCCAGCTTCTTGAAGTTCTCGACATCGCGCTTCAGGCTCGTGAGATCGAGCAGAGGGTCAGCCGCGTCCGAGGCACCGCCTATGCACGTGTAAGTATCTGTGTTGTTGCAGTGGCCGCTCGGTAGCGCAGCAACATACCTGGCTGGTAAGCAACACCGCGGATGTAGAAGCGATCATTGCCGGTGAAGAAGGCATTGCCCTTGACGGTGACTGGGGGCAGGTTTCCCTTTGTCTGGCGGGTGGCGACGGCAGCGAGCGCGGGAGCGACGGCTGCGCCCAGTACGGAGAGCAGAAGACGGGCCTTCATGGCTGTGGTATGAGGAAGGACAAGAGAATTAAAACAAAGGTAGAAGGGGAGCGACCGAAGGGGAAGTGTATGTAACGAGTGACTGGTAGGCAGGGAAAAGCGATCCTCACACCGAGAGCATTGGGAGGCAGCGTGGGAGGCGGGTTGGCAAAAGTATTTGAAGCAGGCGCACCCCAATTTCTTGGTGAGGCCCGGGTGCTCCTTGTGGAACTTGCCAACCCCCGTGGGTTGTCTGGCGCTGATGCGTGCCAAGTCGACAAGTGTTGGCGTGCCGGCAGGAATGGCGGATACCAAGCGGCCAAGTCCATAGGCTCGAATTAGCAATATGCCGCCCAGCCTTGGTCAGGGGCAACGGCGGCCATTGACTGGCAGGACGAGCCTCTAATCACAGTGAATTGCGCGTCCGCTGCTGTTGCGCCCATCGACACAGCCTCGCGACGTGCCCGTGGTCGCTGGTGCTGCCGCTGGTGCAGCCGCTGCTGCTTGGAGACGGGGCCGGAGATTTGGAGTGGCGCCGCGCTCGGGGGGGCTGAGTGAGAAGGAGACGCTGGTGCTGGTGCTGATGGACGGCCGATACCGCGCATCGGGGATTTTGGGCCAAAAGGAAGCCCTTTACCGTTGTTGTCGTGTCGCTACTGGCAACATGGCGACCGTGTCATGGCCGCCCACACAGTGCCACACACGAGTGCGAGCTGGCGAGGGCAACGGTTGCTGCTGCCATTTGTTGGGCGGCCCGTGGAGATCCGGACGGCGAGCACAGCCGGCCAAAAGAAAGGCGACTGACGAGTTGTTGACGTTGGTGCATCGGATCGAGGCGATCTGGGAAGCGATGAGGAGAGATTCGCGACGAGGTTGGTGGTATGAGCTTGAATGACTTGCGGCGCGGGACTTGTTCCGCCCCGCCTGATTCATTCCGCCTCGCTCCAACACTAACACGACTCCCCGCGCTGGTATGCTCGATGCAACAAACATGCCAGTCGTGTACTGCAGTCACCGCCACTGCAAACAACACGCACACTCGACCAACGGCAGCGAGGCGAGATCAGCATCCTCATCACCCGGATGCTTTTTCCTCCTGTAACGCCCCTTTTGGCCTGCGTCTTTTTCGACTCGATACGTCATCTGCCACGGCCCATGGTCGCCATCACCACCCCCCTCCAGCCCCCTCAACCGCCCACCATCTTGTCCCCAATACGGCTTCTTTTTGCTTCAACGCCTTCTCGTGTCAGCAATAGCTTGTTCCTGCTCAACGGGCCGAGACGGCTTCAATGTGCTCGCTGCACCCTAGCCTCAAACCAGTAGCTCGTCTGACAGATTGCGCACCACCCAGACGTGTCAGACGGACTTGCAGCAGACATGTCGATTCGGCCTGATGCCAGGACATCCCTTGCTGTACATGACTGGAGACATGCCCTATGTACATATTACCAGAGACATGCCATTGCATCCATACTGCGACGACGACGTGCAAGACGACGCCCTTGCGCACCATGCCAAGACCAACCCTACATGTATGATTACCACACATTACCACTACACGGCACTACTGCATCGACCCCTACCCATGCTCTCTCTCCCAGCGCCATCCCGCCGACCACAATGCAACAGGATTACCAGAGGCCAATTGCCATCGATTCATCGCCCCAGCCGCCGAACCATAGTTTCAAGGCCTTGCCCGCCTCCACTGCAACAACCGCGCCGCACACGCACCCCCCGCCTGCAGCCTCGCAGCTGGCGAACCACAGGCAAACTACAGGCGCCATGCACAAGGCAGATCGCATCCCACAATCCTCAATAGCCGCACTCCTGGCAAAGATTATTAGTACATGGACATTGATTTCCATCGACCGAGTTGCGAAATTATGCGTGTGCGGCGCAGTTGATCAAAGACAAAGAGACCAAGTAAGGCCAGCAGCCGCTGCAGGGATATAGCACGAGATAAAGAGCTGGACTTGGCCCGCCGACGCAGCAGAGCGCTACGCCTTACCTCTACACCTTCAACGCCCAGCCACCATGTATATCCCTCTGGTCCTCGCCGCCCTCCCAGCCCTATCCCGCGCCACCTACCTGGACCCCTCACTGCAGCACCAGAAGCCGCTTGTGGAAGACGCGGCCCCCGCCTCCTCTGACAATGCCCTTCTCCCGCTCGACGTACGCCTTTCCTCCCAGAGAGCTTACCGCCGCCACCGCAGTCCCTAACCACAAACACAGTTGAACCAAGACTTAGACTACACCTTCCCCTCCCACCCCGCCTCGCACACCCCCCTGCACCGCCTCCAAAACTCCGCCGCAATCCACGCAACACACCACAGCAACAACGTCATCCGCATCTCCATCCCGCTCGACGTCTTCTCCTATGCCGGCACCGTGACTTTCTCCGCACAGAGGCCCGCCGCCTTCACATGGCTGTCGCAGAACCCCTGGAACCCCGCCATGAACCACGTTCCGCTGGTGGATGCGAGCGTGCGCAAGGGCGGCACCGTGGGCATGCCTGTGGAAACAGCAACGCTGGATCTCAGCACCCCGTTCCTCGAGCTGCCCACCGGCCTGTGGGACGTCCTTGTTCTGGCTACGCAGCCTGGGCGCGACGCGGATGCGCGCGGGCTGAGCGTTGAATGTGCGGCGAGAGAAAGGTTTCCCGATCTGGTATTTGGTGTGCGCACGGGTGATGAGGAAGACGACGACGAGAGTGTCGCTGAGCTGGTGGTTACCCCCGCGCAGTATGTGCTGCAGAGCGAAGACGGCAAATGCACTCTTCTCGCCAGGGCGGCGGCGCACGGCGACGAGAGTGTAACGTTGGGATGGGCGGCCTTCAGAGGGAGGCCTGTGGCCTTGGATTGGGAGACGTCGCAGCTTGGAATCGCCATGTGAGGACTCGTAAGAGCTTCGACGTCCTTGATACCAATTCCACCCACGAGTACATACGGCTTCAGTACTCGTCTTCTTACTACACAACACCCCCCCTGTTCACGCGATGAGCAAAGGATATAGAATAATCAGCCTGTCTCAATAGGCATTTCATTTCACACTGCAATACCATAGACAATGGAATAAAATTAATACATAAATTCGCAAAAGGGAGTATCATAATCATCATCACCCACCCATTTCCTATCTAGAGCAGCAGCAAACTCAGCGCCACCGCACCCGCACAAACCACGGTCGTCGACCACGCAACCCTCAGCCCACTCGCCGCATCCTCGTCGTCGTCGTCTCCGTCGCCGCCCCCATCGCCCGTGGTATCCGGGTTGCCCTCTCCCTTGCCCGTTTGCTGCTCTCTACTCGTCACGCTCCCCGCCACACACGCACGCTCATTCAAATTGCCCCTGTCTCCTCCAAACGCCACGCTGGCCGCCTTGTCCCACAGCCGCGTGACATTGAGGTAATCCTGTGGCTCATACCAGACCCTACAGCTCGCGGTATCATTGATAAACTGGGTCGGCACACCGGCGGATTCCAAACCCGCGCGAATGTTATCCTGGAAATTGACGGCGGCATCTAGCACGGCGATGGGCGCCTGTTGCGGGAGGAACGTCGCCCATTCTCTGATTTGGGCGCGGTCGTCGGCGAACTGCACGGCGACGTAGAGCGAGAGGGCTTCCATGTAGACGGAAGGGAGCACGAGTGTGCCTTTTGTGCCGCCGACAGGGACCATGGGGCCGAGCTGGGGGCGGCCGCCTATAGCGAGGGAGCGCACGCCCGACTGCTGGACCATGAGCTCGAGGAAGATGGAGCAGGTAGATGCGCAGATGCCGTCGGACAGGATGACGAGGTCCTGGGGGCGAAACGGGGCCTGCGTGAAGTTGCTGCGGTCCATGTATCCCGTTACGGTGATGCCGACGGCGAGCTGCTCGTTGCTGGTGGTGTCCGGGTCCGAGAGATTGTATTTCAGGAGCGAGGTGAACTTGTCGTTTTTGAAGCGCAGAGGCGGATACATGGCCTTCCAGTCCTGGAACGGCTCGAGGTCTGCCGACACGTACGCGTCGTTGCTGAAGGGGCTTGTGAAGAGCTGGCCGTTGCCCAGCGTGATTTCCTCGAAGCTTGAGATGCTCTCGCCGAAGAGCTCGCTCGCGCGGTGGCCGCGGTACCGCGATTGCGTCTGCGGGACCTGCGCGGGGAAGAACTGGAGATACATGTCGTAGCCGGATAGCACTTTGCCGCCGGGGTTGCCGCGGATGTCGATGATGTGTTTCTCCACGCCGCGAGACTGTGCCTGTGCAATGTATTCCTGGATGACTTGCTGGAATTCCTGCGCCGATTCCACGTCCGGTGTGTTAAACGTTTGCGCGACCAAGACGCCGATTTCGCCCACAGACGTGTTGATAAAGTATCCCGCCAGAGGCACCGTCTCCCGCGAGTGCACAATTGTGGGTTCCGGGTAGAACAAGGGCACCGACCCTTTCTGCTGGGAGGCTGCAGACTCAAAGTCGAGGTCGCGCGGGTTCTTGAGCTGCAGAGGCGGATCGTTCATGTCTCTCTTTTTGACTCCGTTTCCAGTGCTGACGGTGGGTATGCACATAGCCTCGTAGAAGCTTTCCCCGTCGCCGATGTTGTACCATTTATCAGGATCGATGACGCGGGCTAGGTTCCTGTACTGATCCGTCGTCCCGTTCCTGTACGTGATGTTGGTCGAGGCACCGGGGTAGAAGCGCGGATTGGTAAAGTAGCCGTAGTTTTCGGATGCCGGCATGAAGAACATGGCGTTGTAGCGCGTGTCCGGGTCGTGGTATGCAACCGTATCTGCCTCTTCTTTCAAGAACTCGACTGCGTCTTTGCCGTTGATTTGCGTCACAGGCGAGGGCTCATAGGCTCCGTTTGTGTTGTTGAAGTCCTTGAGTGCCCAGATCTGAGGTATGTCGCTGCCATTTGTAGATGCCGAGATGAGTGCAATGTTGCTGCTCCTCCTCCACAAAAAGGACCCTGCAAAGGCCATGCCGTTCCAGCCCAGGTGCCCGTCGTACGCCTTGCCCAACAAGGCCGCGATATCGGCTTCAAAGTCGTACTCGTTGTCATATCTCCCCGACTCGACGTTGCCCTTGAGCGTGTCCAACTCGCCGAGGATATCAACGGCTGGGTTTGGATATCCTTTGGGTGGATCCTTGAGATACGCCAGTGTGGACTGGAACTCGACCATCTTTTTGATCTCGTCAACCGTCCTGGATGCATCTGTCGAGTACAACGGCACTGACTTGAGACATGCAATTGCAAGCTCAGCATCTACGGCGGGAAGCTCCGATGAGCTACTGGAAACTGCATCTGATATCTGCCCACAGGCCCTTGCAGTCTGGATAGGGCCTGAAATGGTCTCAACCGGGGTGGGCTCAGCCTCGATATCGTTAATCGATGTCGGTGTTGGTAGTTCTGTTGGTATTTCTGTGGGCTCGAGATCAAGCGATACAGTGTTGCCAAATTCAACCGAGCTGGTCTGCGCCGTGACGACAGCCGCGAGCGCGGATAGTGCTATGAAGGACTTCATGGTGGCCAGGCGGATTCCGAATGTGGTACAGCCTTGTCGATCCTTGAACAAAGGCGTGAAGCAGCGCTGTGCCGCTCAGCAGAAGGCGCGGCCTTGTCTAAGCAATCCGCAGTGGTCCTAAGGATATCGATTCGTAATATGCGAGATGTAGCCGCGGGCGCTCTTGTCTCGTGTTTCGTGGAGGACCGTCTACAGTCACCCCCTGCAGTATCCCGAACTCGTCTCAATGTGCCGATTCTTCGACAATGCGTGGGTTTCAGGCCTGCTTCCCCAAGGAAAGAGGTCGACAGAAGGGTAGGCCCGACCCCCAGATGGCGGGAGGGCGGCCATATTAACGACATGGCAGACTCAGTCTAGCTGGCTGCTCTAAGCGTTAGTTGCCGCTGCCTTGAAAATCCACTCATTCATGCGTCTGCCGCGCTGGATTTAGAGCCTTGGCTACTCCGCCCCTGTGAATCCTCCGCCAATGTGCATGACCAGGCAGGTGACTTGGGCTGTGGCTCGAGAGAGATATATGCCGTGGGGCCAGAGTTAATCCCGGGCCGTGGCGGTAGCAGGTGGTTGGATGGTTTTGCGAGAAGAGTGGACCGCCTCCGGTATGGGTATGGGTAGGCGAGGCAGACGCACTTTGCTGTTGCGGCTGAATCGTGTGGCGGGCTTGGGGGCACACCTGTGCGACTTATCGTAGGACCTGGTGCCTTGCAGTTGGTTTCAATTCGATGTTGCTTTGATTGTTGCCATGGGTTGGGTGACACGGGTGCTGTCGACATACGAGTTTGTTGCTTTGTACGGGGTGAAGCCCTTTGCAAGCGACACCTCGTTATCTAAGCGCTTTAATATGCCAAGCGTTGTCACCGGGTCGACAGCGCATCGCTTGACGGTCAAACACAATTGGCGGGACGCCTCAGACACTGTATTGCGCACAGCCTCAGCTGAAGGACTTGTAGCTATCACTATGGCTGTGACGGCACGCTGAACCTTGGTATGGAGTCTCGGTGCCGCTATGCCCGGCTGGGAGGCCTAGCCATGACGTAGTGAACATGCTGAGACCTAACTGGTGCACATCTAGTAGGCTGAAATGGTCGAGCTGCACCCTTGTGTTCTTCAGACATGTAACAAAAATAATACCAATACACGCTGCAAAGGGGTCATCGGATCTTCGCTGCCGAGGTAAACAGCAGGCATCGTACTATTGCTATTTTTTGAGGCCCACTACAACAAGGTTGCGGGGACTGTGCTTGTACTCGAATACGGGCTCGACCCACGCATGCTCAACCTCTTCCTGCTCCTTGAGCCACAGGTATCGATCCGTGACTACAACCGCTTCAACCACGCCAGCGCTGAAGGCCATCAAACTCCACATGACACTCAGATCCTTCTTCCTCTCTGCATAGCGGACCTCATAGTCCCTAATGTCGTCGTCAGTCAAACCATCCATCTTCTCCTTGATAAAACTGGGGTCGATCTCGCAAAACGAGTTCTCTGCCGTGAGTTTTGCAAGCGCGGCCCGAACGTACGACACAAAGTCGTTGTAAGCAAACTTGCGTAGCGTGCCAATAGTCAGGGGCGTAGAGGTTCCATCTGAAGAGAGGCCAGGCCCGCGACCATTGGGCGGTGTCCAATTCACCTGCGACGTATGGCCGTTTGCTGACACGGCACTGCCGGCAAGCCCTTGTTCGTGTAGCGGCGCCGAAACTACGCCGCGATCGAGGAAGATGCGCTGAAGCAGTGCTCGAAAGAAGTGGCGTGTGAAAAAGAGGTCAGAGTCGACGGGTCCCCAGTTGAAAGGCGCCTGAACAGCCATCATACGGGCAGTGATGTTGAGTCGTACGCCTTTGGGCTGTTCTCCTTGCTCGCCGTCGCGCGAATCAAGAGGGGCGTGTGGTAGCGGGTAGTTTACGAGCTTCTCCGACATGGGAAAGCCGTTGGGGTCGAAGGCATTGGAAGTGGATTCCAGGCGTGGATGGTTCGCACGTAATGTGGGCAGCTTGTACGTTGGCGGACCAAGTCGTTCAGTGAGCAAGTTGTAACAACAACCCACCATGGCTACAGCGGATATGTGAGGGTTGAGCATCATGGATCGGAGCCCGTAGTGGACCAGGTTACCGCACGAGTGAAGAGAAATGACCATCGCATTTACGTCGTTGGGTTTGGGTACCACGTCCAGGTTTGTAGCCTCAGCAACTACGGCCGAATCCGATTTAACAATATCCTCTGGTACACGCGAGGTATCCAGGACTTGATTGATGACCGGTGTCAGGTCGCCACCTTTGATGACATGTTCAACGTACTGGACGCTGCCATGGCCTTCGTTGTATATCTGAAGCGTAGATGTCTTTGTCGCCTGAGCTGCATCCGCACTCTTCTCTTCTTTGGGCGAATCAGCTTCTATGCTGTTTACAGATGTCTGGGGTACTTGTGGAAGTGCGCATTCCTCGTCGTCACATTGTATCCCATCCAGTGGTGAAGGAGCTAGAGCATGATCGCTGGTTGGATGAGACAAAGTCCCGTTTGCTTGGGCGTCTACATGCGGCTCTGTTGCCTCTGAGCTGGATAGAGCGCTGACCCCATTCTCCCTGCCTTTCTTGACCTTTCCTGTTTTCGCCCGGTACTCCTTCTTGTTCCTCATGACGACAGGCTTGGGTACCAGTTTTGCCAACATGTCCATGTTCTTGGCACCCTCAATGTTGTGCTGCTTGCTCTCGACTGCGACAATGTGTTTTGAATATGGTGCTGCAGCAAGGGCGCGCCCAAGGTAGTTCTGACCCGACCCGAAATCTACAAGATGCGTAATGGGCTTCTTCTTGGACGCCGCAATCTCAGACGTCAGTCTATCGATGTAGCGCGCAAAGTTGTCCACCTCATGCACTTTCTTTACTTTCATGCCCATGGCAATATGGCGTGGCAAAGCAGGCTTTTCAGACGTAATGTTGGAGTTGGGTGGAGGAAAGTCGCGTGCCAACAGGTGCCTCCGGACGCTCCTGATGTACTCGAGTAACTCCTCTGGCGGCGCTGGCCCCCCGCGCCATTGCGCATTGGCATCGCCTCGGTTCATGTCAAATTGGCAGAGGTCTTCTCTCATGAGCAAATCCAAGATGTCCATGATATCTCGTGTCTTGAACCAGTCCCTCCATGACTGAGGCAAGATGTGCGAGTACAGATCAGGTGACCGGGTGTAAAAGTCCAGAATGTGAACACCTCCGCACAGTGTTTGGAGCAGCCATGAGGAGGTGGAAAAGTTGAGCAGTGACTCAACGTACTCGTCGGTGTTTGCAAATCCGGGCGGAAGAGGCAGAGGCGTATCCGGTCCCATTTTGTCAGCCGAATCCCCTTGGCCAAGAAGCCGACTCTCGCTGTATGCGGATTTTGGGTGATAGTCGAGCCATCAAGGCGTGGTGTGGTGTTCTGGACTTGATGGTGGGGGATTTTTTTTGGGAAGGTGGGTCCGTGCCGAGGTGTTCGGGGCGCGTCATCGCTCCTGGCAGCATGCAGGCCGTCGACACGTTCCCAACACTGCTCTTTGATATTCACCATCATCCGACCCCAGGAGTAGGACCGCCTGATACATCTGCTGTCGCATCTGCCAACATGATGGCCTCCCAAAACGACGAGGATCCATTCCTCCAAGTCCAAGCGTGAGAAGCCCTTCTTTCGGCGCCCAGGCAGCTTCGTTAACTCGCCATAGAGACGTGCTATCTGCCCTCAACAATGCGAGGCCATTGTTCAAGTCGTATCTTCGCATCAGGTCCTCGGCATCCTCGGCAAATAGCCCCGAGCTCCGTGAGGCACGCAGCGAGCTCGAACAAACACTGCAGGATCTCAGCCAAGACCTCGAGGACCTGGTGGAAAGCGTCAAGGCCGTGGAACACGACCCCTATCGCTTTGGTCTCGAGATTGACGAAGTAGAGCGCCGCCGGACGCTGGTCAAGGATGTCGGCTATGAAATCGAGAATATGCGCGATGAGCTTCAGCAGACGGTCCAGCACGCCAAGAACAAGGGAAAGAATGCTGCCAACGGCGGCGACATGCTGCCTGACCCCGACACATTCGAAGATGACGACAATTATGCTGCGTTTGAGCAGGAGCGGCAAATGGAGATGATGCACGAACAGGACGAGGCTCTAGATGGCGTGTTCCGCACGGTGGGCAACTTGCGACAGCAGGCTGACGACATGGGTCGTGAGCTGGAAGAGCAGGGCGAGCTGCTTACCGATGTTGACAACATAGCTGACCGAGTGGGCGGCAAACTCCAGACGGGCCTGAAGAAGGTTGGCTGGGTCATCAGGAAGAACGAAGGTATGTCATGTAGCATACACATAGCCTGCAATGCTGACGATTTCTCTCCCTCAAGACTCGTGGTCCAGCTGCTGTATTGGCGTGCTGATCTTCGTCTTGATCCTGCTGCTCGTCCTTCTGCTCTTCCTCTGAATGCGTCCCAAGAGCGCACTTTACGCCTCGGCATGACTCGGCGCATGCCTTGCCGGACACGCGTATGCTCAATCTCAACCTCGTGGCCGAACCTGTTGGCCAGCTTTGCGCCTGCGACAACATCACCATCACAACATGTCTTCGACTATTCAAACCATTACTTCATTGTAGGTCAAATTAGTGGAAAATGCTCTGGATGCATATGGCCATCCAGTCTTATATGGTCAGTTCCAATAACAGCCATATGACCCCACCACAGGCATGATTCGGATGATCCAGCAACCCAGGGGATCCATTACTCCCTTAAACAGTTGCATTCCCACGTGGAAACCCGAAAATGCCCTCCGCAGAGCCTCTTGCTGTTGATCGCGCTTGGAAGAAATTCTGTGGACAATGAAGAGCGATGCCAATGGCTCCAGCAGCCGAAGAATTGTACATTTTAATGTCGGTGTCTGTGAGCAACAACACGTTCACTCCCTCGTTTCACAGCCAACAGAACTCCTGTCTCACCAGGGCACGAACCTTCGACTTACTGCTGCAGATAAACGGTTGGGATGAGTGTCCTAAAATTGGACATCGTAAGGCTGCGTCAGTCACTGTGCACCGGTAGCGTTGCTTCTGAGACACTGCCGGTGTGAGATATTTCGGATTCATGCAAAACTTGAACGAAACCAATTCTCATCATTACTTGCAACCTCCCTTGTCATTTTTACGGCTGCTGCCACGGGCACGCTGCCTCTAACCGCCAATCAATGTATTTTCAAAAACCCAATTGCCCTTCCTCCGTCTTGCTCCGCTTCCATTCACCTCATGGCTGGCAGGGGCAGTAGCGATAGCCAAGCTGACCAGACGCCGGAGAAGACGACCGGAACTCGCGCCAGGCGCACTCGCCGGAAACTTTGTCTAGTCGTCATTACAATACTTCTCAATGTACTTCTCTACAGTGCTCTCTTGTGCATCGCCGCCTCCGTCTATCAAATCATCTCTGATCCGAGAGATACATCAATCTATACACAAGTAGCTTTGGATACAACATCGGTATGTAGACTGCATTCTTACAACACAAAACAGCATGGACTAAGGACTCCAGGCTTTGGCCACGGTCGCATACACTTTGGTCCATACAATCGTCTCACTGAGGCAGAAATCATGGGACCACACATCCTCTACAAGGCGGACCTCTAACATTGCTCTTCGTATGGTTGCATGGCTATGTGCACTCTGGCTTTTAACATCTGGATGGAACATGATACTAGTCGCGAGAAGACCAATCTGTTCGCAAAGGGCGACAGGGCTCGACAGCTGGGAGTACGGCTCCACCTGCCTGGCCAGTCGGATCGGAATAATCACCGCTGCCCTTGCCCTGTCAGTAGCTCAGTTGGTTATATACTATATATACTAACCCATGTTCTAGGGGTGTGTCGTGTGTCCTCTTTGGCATTCTGGCCACGGTTAGTCGTCCGTTGGAAGCGCATTTATTCAATCATGGTTATCAGCCGTCAATTACCGTGTACTCGAAACCATACAACCCTCGACCATCTACATCGCAAGATAGACCACAATATTTAGGGGTCATTCATGAAAAGCAAGGGAGGCCTATATCCTTGCGCGGAATTAGCGAATCCAATCCATCAACAGGCAATGTCCGCATGATCAACCCGGGTTGGAGGCCGGGGTCTTCAATCATGTCTGGCCATTCTACAATCCACACTGCCGACACAGAGGTGGTATTCACATCAAATCTTAAACCGCCCCCGATTCCTGCTCAATATATCACTTCGCAATGCAAGCCATGGCTGGGCATCTCTGCACCGGCAGGTCAAACAACCAGAGCTCACAATCATTCAGCATCTTCATCGAGATCTTCTTTGTGCGGCGACTATTCGCGCTCTTCACGACAGTCGTTACCGGCGCAGTGGCCGGAATCCGCATTGCGCGCCGTTCACCCCAATCCAGAATCATTAATCTTGGTGGCACGTTCTCGCTCTCAAGGTCCTGGCACTGGATTTTCTTACAAGAATCCTTATTCTCGCTCTTTGATATCACTCACTCGTCCTACACGTCTCAGTTACGCCTCGAGTGGTGCAAGTATTAGCTCGCGACACGGGCGTACGGGGTCAGACAGTTCAGACGACTCTTCGAGGAAGTCTAGCACACATGAAAGAGCTGGCTCTGACGAGATTGTACGTGCTCTTGTAAAGGGCATTCCTCTGCCTGTAACAGCACATCCTAGCAATCGTGCCGGTAGCATGCACATTACGACTAAACTGAATACCGATTCTGGTGTGCAGCCACACCACCTAGCTTACGTGACAACGGCTCTCACGATACCACCTAACAACGTTGGTTTCAGTGGAGATCACAGCATGCAAGGAAGCGAATATGAGGAAGGATCAGAAGAGCACAGGAATCACGTGCGCAGTATTTCACCAGGGTACTCCATGCTCTTCAGCCCAGATAGCAGTCCTACCGATGATGTCAACCCAAATGAATCTCCGGAACGAGTCGCAGTGAGCCAAACCCCGCGGAACCCATCGCCTGTCCGAAGACAGGACTCCGTGAGAACTTCGAGTGCTCTCATCGCTGCAGAAGCTGTAAAAGCCATGATCAATAAAATGCCACAAGATCTGACATTGCCCGAGCACAAATCGGCAAGGGTGAAGGTTGGGCCAGGAAAGCCAAATGAGGTTGAAAAAATCAAGAACAAGCCGTTGTATAGAGTAGCGTATATGTAGTATTAATTAGACTGTGCATAACCAAGGTGATCCGATTCCAAAAGTTACAGTTGAAATAAAGGCTCGCGATGTTCCAAATCTTACTCCATACACACTTCTATTGCATACCAGATATACCCAGTCTCTTGGCATCATATTTTCTTTCTTCTCGCCCCAGATCGCAATGAAACATGAGCAAATCAATCATCATGCCGACATGCAAAGTATAAACCCGAGACAAACAAAAAGAACATACCCGGGACAAAGGATGAGGAGCGGGCCGCTCGTGCATTTGGCCGACTTCCCCTGTCTCCGACCCCCATCCTTCCATCCCTTCCATACCGAATACCCCTGTTCCTAATAACACAGTTATTGGTCACCTGCAACGCAGTATTGGATCCTCCCCCCTCCACGGTAAGCTGACTCGTGGCGCTGGCTGACTCCCCCCCACGCGGCCAAAGGCAGCCAAGTCCCTCGGCTTTCCCGTACGATTGGATGTTTGGGGGATGCTGTAAGCAGAGTTTTTTCTTCCGACTATACGGATGACTACTGGTAGGTGATTTTTTTTCGTTTGGGGAATGTAAGCGTGGAAGACGTCATGGGAGCACGTGGATGGAGGGGATTTTGGTTACGTATGTTGTTGGTATTTATAATAGGGCAAAAAGATGATGTGAAAATCGTTGGAATCACTGTTGAGGAAAATAGGAAGTACTGTACAGGAAAATGGAGGGAGGCATATACTAGTGCATGATCTAACTACATGCTGCGTTTCGTCGGGCCAATCGCTTTTTTAGCTTTTTGTCATGTATTGTGAGCGCCACCCCCACGCTTGCGGGTAGGGTTGATGTTGGATGGAGTAGCCAACGCGTGGGCGCCGCCACGTCGCTGGATGCATCGTGGTAGGGCAATCAGTGCGTTCTGACGTACTTGTTGTCATGTCAGGGCAACGTGTATAGCCTGGCCGTGGTGAGATTCTGATCATTTGAATTCTCTATGTATTTTTTCTGTATTTTCTGTTCCCTACTTCACGAAATAACACTGACAAAGTCGACTTACTACGTAGACTCGGAACATGAAGCTCTATCAACCAAACATTTTCGAAGAGACTGTAGCACGACTGATGCCAATGACTCTGGTCCAGGCCGGGGAGGTTGGAGGCTTAGAAAATATTTTCGTTTTCCCGGCCATGCATTAGTCAAATGGGGAAATTCTTGAGAGAAAACGTTGCGAACAAAGGCACGGAAGGATCACCGCAACGCCTCCAACCAATGTCTAGTGTAACAACCGTATCCACGCCGTTTTTTGATACGTCTGGATGATGTTCCCAACTCCATGAGAAAACACGTGGCGTCTGACAGCCAAGATTAGGACCTGGTTTTGATCCATGTTTACGCGTAAGAGGAATAAGATGCCGGATCCGCGGACGCGTGTCAGCGGACTGTAGCGTATGGATCGAAGCTCACCTGAACTTCCATGCGTGTATTCAATCGGATCTGCCTTGCCGTACGATCGCTGCTAAACTTAACCTGGTGTTTGGGTCGATGCTGCAGGGTTTAGTGGCTCACGACAGGGGTGCAAGGGTGTTTCCTCAGGGTGTGAGTATGCCTCAATTAGCTGTGCTGATGTATTCTGAGACCAAAGTCTGGTGGAAATATGGATACCGTAAATGTTCATGTGCGAGGCAGAAGCTAGAACTACAATTCTCCAGATGTAAAGTAGACTGCACTGCCACTCATACATTTAGTTCTTGTTATGTCATGAACACCTCCAAGATCACTTGACCGGAGTCAATCTTAGTCACTGATAACAGCTCAGCCTCCACTGAAAAACTGCAACGACATCATCTGCTCTGCATGCAACCAACCTCAACTCGAGAATGCGCACGCCACCAACGAGTTGTCCTCAGACTCCAGTCTCGCTGGGGCCAGCAGAAAATCCCTGTCTAGTGATATATGAGCTTACTGCGTGATATTACACTGGTAGACCAACATATAAAGCCAATGTGTCCTCGCCGATATCTAGTGTTCCTCACTCACAGCCTTCCCATTCAATCTCAAAGTCTATCCTCCAAACAGCCACTTTACTAGTTCTTAATACCAAACTAATCAACCGCAAAAATGCAGTTCACCACTATCACCGCTCTCGTTGCTACCATCCTGGCCGTCAGCGCCACCCCCATCGAGCAAGAAGCCAAGCGCCAGGACGGCGGCGTCCCCCGCGTCTACGCCCGCTTCTACAACGACGGCGGCTGCGGACCTTCCCCCTGGGCCGAAGACACCGTCTTCATCCAATCTTCGACGGTCGGCCTCGCTGGATGCCAGGACCTGACTGTCGGTCCCTTTGCCAGCACCTACTTTGACACCAACAACTTCAGCAGGACCGGTACGTATTCTGTCGTTGAATCTGTTGAGTAACGGTGTGACGAATGAGTGCTGATTAAATACACAGTTCGCTTTTTCAACCTCCCCTGCTCGCAACTTACTTCCACCACGAGTGGAAACTTCATTGATATCGCGCCCGGTCAGGCTCCTGGATGCAAGAGCTTGGCTATCCGCTCTTGGATCACTTTGTAAGCTGCTTATATCTGTTTGAGAAGCTTTGTGGCTTTTGAATAGAAAAGGTGTGCGAGATGAGAGTGGCTATCAAGGCGGTTGCGGGAGGAAGTGGATGATGATGATGATGACGACGGTGGTGGTAAGCCGGGTCCAACACTCCGGCTAACTGCCACGGGTGTTTCACTCTCCTAGTTTCTAATCGCTCGTTAAAATAATGTTGAAGAATCTGGGGACGCCCCCATCTACGTATCTGCGGGTTCTGAAGCGTGATGTTGTGATGTGATGTTTTGATGCGTGGCTATGCGAGAAGCTTGGTATGATGTACAGAGAAAGGCTCAAAACAACACGGCCATTTCAGGTGTTTGTCGTTGAGTATCAAGAGAACATGTTGTTGAGCGGGGATGGGAAGGAGTAAACCAAATATCATTGCCCGTTTCATAACGTCAAATTACGAGCTGACAGAATTTAGTCCATGCAAAACATCTGACAAGTGAGCAAAATTCTATTCAGGTCTAGAAGCTTCAAATATACTCAGAACTCATTATAAAAAAGATGCTCAGAATTGATTATCAATCGCCTCTCACCTGCAAGACCTTCTCTTTTCCCTGGATTTTCCAATCAAAAAGCCTGTGTGCACTTGTGCAAAATCCAAGTCGCACTGCTATGATAATCAATCTGACACCAGCATCTTCCACACACAAGTTCATCTTGACACCTTTACCTCTTACATTTCTCAACCTGTGCTTTCACTCCCATCAAAAGCGCTTTAGCTCTTCTGTGTTTGCTCCCTTGCGAAGACCCACTTCGTGACACCTTCTCGTTATCCTTCACCCTATGTCTCCTCGCATATAAAACACCAAGTCCCCGTTCCTTGATTTCTTTCTACCGTGATTCCCATATATCGCTAACACGTCACGACGGCCAACTACTTAAAAAACCAAGACGATGTACTTTCTCTCTCTCATTCTCGCCCTTACTACCCACCTCCTCGGCGCCTCCGCCGCCCCTACACACTCCACCCTCCCCAATCCCCTCGCAATCCCAAACCCAAATTTCCCCACCTACGACACCGATCTCGCTGCAGCCATAGCATACGCTCGCTCGCACCCCGCTCCAAGCATCCATGCAGCCTTGATCTCCGCCCACGACGAGAACAGCGAAGCCACTACTCCCACTCCTACTTCCACCACTTCGACTGACGCCAACACCAACACCGCACCCAGCAAGCAAAACATTCAATGCGGCGTCTACACCAACATCGGGGGCCACTTCAGCTTCCCCATCTACACGACAGAGCAGTACTGCAACGAGACGGAGGAAGCCGAGGAGATGGACGAGTTTTTCAATTTCTACTGTGGATTTTGCATTGTTTTTCATGGTGAGTCTACTGATTTCCTTGCTTGGGATTTTGAGAGAGGGTTAGGTTTGTGGATGGAAAAGGGGTGAAAGTGAGGGCTAACATGTATGATGCGTATAGATCGTAGGTGCCAGGGTGATATCCGGTGGAGTGGGGGACCGGAGAACAAGGGACAGGCGGTTAGGGGAGCGAAGAGCTATTTCTGTTATTAGAAGTGCGATGGATGGGGTGGGCTGGTTTGTGTCCGGTCTGCGTAGTGAGCGTGGAAGTCTGGGTTAGACTGATTAGAGTATGACACATTTACAACACTGGCGACTACGAGACGGCTAATTACGTACAATGGTACTACTCTGTAGCTTGATGACGAGAGAGTCCTTCTTTCCTCTCCTCTTACAATATTCAGACCTAAGAACAGCACTTCTACTACTTCAGAATTAACCACATACATAACCCTCCACACCGCATGCTTCCAATATCCAATCCGCAAATCCCCCCACCCTTATCCCCCACAAACAAGACTCCCCACATAACAAAGAAACCAAACCACCAATCACTACATCTAGATAGCAACAACAACAAAAAAAACAAGATACATACCACATCGACAGTATCGTAACACACATCAACACAACTCACCAAAACACCGCAACATATTCTCTAGCAACGCTCAAATACCACTCCAGCAAGCACACGAGTAATAGTAAAGCAAAGTCAATAAAATAGCTCATCTCTACGGCGGCATACAGGGCAGTACATACATACATACATACACATATGGAACCCAGCTCCGTCCAGCAAGAAAGCAAGAGACGCGAAACAAAGAACGCCCTTGCTAAAGAAGAAGAAAAAAGCAATGGTGCAGAAAATGGACAAGTGGTAGTTACATGAGAAGTACATGAGAAGTACATGGGGCACATTTGGTACACTTGGTACAAAGATAACAACATGGCAAAAACAAAAACAAAAACAATACTTCCTAGCTTTGCTAGCTTTTTTCTTTGCCTCCTGGGGAGCAAATATGTGATTTTTGGGGGAAGAAAGAAAGAAAGGGAGGGGGAGAGAGGGAGGAACGTCCATCATATAGCGATCTTGCTACTCAACCTCAAGGAAGAAAAAAGGGCGTATGGCGCGCAAAGTAACATGTGACGGTGAATGGATACGTCAAAGGCAAAAAGGGCGTTCAGGCAAAGTCTAATTTCGAACGAGAAAAAGAAGAAGAAGAAGAAGAAGAAGAAGAAGAAGAAATTGTTCCCAGGGTATTCGTTCACGTAGCGTCTCCATTAGACTTGTTCGACTCTTTCTCCCCCTTTTCATCCTTGTTGTTGTCGTTATTATTTGTGGACTCGGTTTCCTGCTTGGGCTCTGGTTTAGACTCAGACTTTGGCTCTGCGACTACCTTGCTGACTACCAGGCCGATGAGGTGCGAGCCGACGTTTCCAGCGCCGTCGATAGGTCCGAGTTTTGCATCGAAGAGTTTGGCTTCGCGCAGCAGGCTGTGGTCTTGGTTAGTATGTGGCGTCGACTGGGTCCAGATTTCTTTAACTTACCGTGCCTTGCCGCCCGGCGTCTTGACCGAAGCCTCTTTGATTACCTTGCCAACTTGCTCCCTGTAGCTTTCGAATACTGGGCCCATGATCATGCGAACCTGTATCTCGCTGAGGTACTTGTTGATGACTTTGTGCATGGTGACTGTGTCCTTGGTCAAGCTTTCCATGCTGGGACTGACGTCTTTCTTTATTTCTGCCTCACTATCCCATTCCACCTTTTTGAGACTGCGCATGTGCACCGTGGCACGCCCTGAAAGAATGTCCGTCAACTTCTCGTGGATTTGGTTCTGTTGGTCGTGCAAGAGCCGCTTGACATTGTCAAACTCGCCCAGAGGCGACTTGGTGGTAGAGGCAACACGCCGACGGAAACACTCGCGGATATAGGGAAGGATGGCGATTATGAAAGAAAGCGTTTGCGAGGCGATAGCGAGATGCTTGGTATTGATATTCTTCAAGCCAGCTGAATGCATGGCACCAGCGCCGAGAATCAGTTGGCACAGGCGTGAATTGAAGAGTTTTATGTATTCGCAGAGCGAAGCAGCGACTTCAGAAGTCATGCTTGGCATAACGGAGACGAGTATTTCAAAACGCTCAATCCCTCTTATGACGACCGTAGAAGACGAAGATATTGTGTACTTTTCTTCATCCACAATAGCGGGTACAGCAGTCTTGTTCTTCTCTTTTGGCTTTTCTTCAGAAGTACCATTGGTTGCTGTTGACGTGCCATTCGTAGTCGGTTCCTGGATCTTTTGCAGGATATCACCAGCTTCTGCCCAGCTCGGAGGATCGCTCTCCATAGCCTTCAAGAGTCGTGCTAGAACCGCTGTGTCTCCTGCATCAAAGTCCTTTGGCTCCCAGCGATCCGAGTCCATGGATTTTGCAAGCTCTTGCTTTTCAAAGTCGCCAAACTTGGTCACAAAGTCGGTGATGTGGGTGTTGACTACGCCCTTCAAAGCAGCACCAGACCTTCCAGAGACAGCCTCACATTCGTCGGCGAACATTCTGCACATGTTGAAGTACCGAAGGAATCGGTCAAGAGGGAGGTTTGTGGTTGCTTCTGACCGGACTTTCAAGAGCTTGGTGATCTGTGTCTGAGCAGCGTCGACTGCCTGGCCAAGGAGGCTTGACATATCCAAGGCTTGCATAATCTCCATTTGCAAGTCGTTGGAAGAGGGTGTGGGTACACCATTGCCTATGTAATCATCGATGTTGTTCGGGTAGGAATTCCTGGGGGATCGCAGGCCGCCCGCAGAGACGGGAGGGGTTACAACACCACTCGTCACATCGAGCAATACCTTGACCAAAGTACTAAGCCGGCGCAACGCTTCACCGATATCAGTGAAGATGTTTGCAAAAAAGTCCTCTGCGTCTCCAGCGTCCATTGCCCGCAGATTCCGTGCAAGAATAGAGTTCTTGTCAGCCTGGCTCTGCCCTCGCCCACCTCTTGTTGATACGGAAGCCATGGATCCGGTATCGTCCTCGGAAGAGCTTGGCAGGTGTTTCCGGATAAGGACCTTCATCTCTTTCAGGACGGCTTCTCTAAAGGTTGCACTAGCCTGGTTCGTGAACTGCGCTCCACTCAAGCCGTACAAGCTGGCTCTCAGCTCTGCCCGAAGCTTTTCGTGCGTCGACATGTAGGCGGGAAGAGTGGTTTTGAGCTTTTGGTTACTGTTTCGCCCCTTCTGAGACGCAGCAACCCATCTCTCCAGGGTGTCGTGGTTTGGCACACGCTTGACGTGCTCGCGCAGGTCTGTAAGTAGCGTGTCTACGAAACGGGCCTCAAAGCCTCTTCCGATGCGGAATTTGAGTTCAGTGATGCTCTCGAAAACGTCATCCAAAGCTCTTAGAGGCCGCAAGTCAATCAATCGTTGGGGCAGCCGCGTTTCCAACCACGCGGTTGCTTTTGTGTCTGTGGTATCCAACACGCCAGTTATCAGTCGCTCTACCATCTCGATGCGAGTCATGGCAGTCTCCAGGTCGCCGTCAACAACCGCCTCGTCACAACGAGATAGCCCCACAATTACGGCCTGGAGTTGGTCGACCGAGTCGGTCAATCTTCTCAGGTTCTCTCTCCGCCTTTTCATGTTGACAACCTTCAAGCCTCCTATTGCCATCTGCTCGTCCAATCTCTTCAAATCTTCTCTCAGGCCTTGAATCTTTGCAACAGAATCTGCAGCCTCTGTCTGCAGCTCGCGTAGTGATCCGAGGGCGGCGAAGAAGGACGTCGATGCCGCTGAGATGGCTGATATCAAATGCACCTCGACCGTGTCCATGTACCACGACAGCTTCTCCTGCAGTATTGCGTTGGTGGCCAGGGCCTTTCTGGCTGTCGGTTGCGGTACGTCCAGCGCGCCGTGATCATCAGTGCTCATGCTCCGCACCGGCCTCACCACCTCGGATCGTTCGCTCACAACGTCAAAGGTTCGTGGGTTCTCAATGTGGAAATTCTCGTCGAAATAAATGTTGGGTATCGTAGAAAGTGGCGTAATTGCCGGTATGGTGCGCTTTGTCGAGCTCGTTCGGCGCTTCGGTTTCGGGGTGCCCTCTGGCGCAAAGGGTGCTCCTCCCAGATTTGGCGTCCCCGCTGGCGAGGGTGTGAGGTCTTCGGAGCCATCCTCCTTCCTGGACTGTCTCCTCTGTGGGTGTGCAGCCTCGGCAGCCTCTGCCTTTGCGCGCTGGAAGGCCTCGTACAAATTGCCGACTTGCGAAAGATATGGGTTGAAGGCGGAGGGGTCAATGTGGGGTATTTGCGAGAGCGTCACAGGCGGTATGTCTCTGATGGATGGCGGCCGATGGCTGGAGGAAGCAGTGGCAGTCGTATGGGGGACCATGCCGGTCCGCATAATGGGAGGGGTAAGGAGCGTAGAGATGGCTGAGCCCGAGTTAGCTCTCCTCACACAGAGCAGCACGCCGTGGCATGTGTATATTCACCATTGTTGCTCTGCTCCCTCACCGCGCCCATGGTGCTCTTGAAGCTGCTGTCAAGGGAGCCGCCAATCGAGTGAATTGAAGACGCGGTCGAGCCACGTCGCGGCTTGTAACGCCCGCCCGTCGAGTTGGGCCGGTTTGCCCACTCATGCTGCGGGGGGAATGTAAAAGGTCCCTGGGGCGGATTGGGCGATAGGAATTCAAAGCTCTCGCTCGACTTTCGGGACATCTCTGGCGAGGACATGATGGCGGCGCAGGTCGGGGGTGCGCATCGGCGGCGGCATGGGGGAGTGAGGACAAGACACCTCTATCGCATAGTGGCACGGATTCCGGTTCCTGTGGGGGGGTTTTCGATTATCGGCAGTGCAGGGACACGGCGGCGGCGCAAGAAGGGCAATGTGGCATCGAGCGTGGCTTGTTAGTTGATTGTCACAGAGTCTCTGGCCAAAGTTCCCACGCGCTCGGTGGTGACGAACCAAGCGCATGGGCCCTTGAGCGGCTTCTGGAAGTCCAACAGGGATGTCGCTGCCGAAACGCGACCGGCGACGTCTCCACCCGTCTCACCCCCAGCCCTCCAACATGCCCGCATGGATATCCATCTCCACCTTCCCATCGTCATTTCTCTCAGCACACCAAAAGACTGCACCCCATCAAGTGCCAGTCTGCCGCCTTATTGATTTCTACAAGATAGGTAATCGATCAGCGTCTGGCCTCTCTCCGACTTTCAATGTCGCCCAATTAGTGTCCTGTATCACACCTCCCCGCCAGCTTCCATCTCCATCACCACCGACATCCACTACTTCTACCAACCACTACATTCACTCACTCTAGTACTACAATGATGATGTCTAGGTACACCCTAGCTATTGTATGCCTCAATCGCAAAGTCTCTAGCTTTGGATCCAAGGAAGGAGTCTGTCACTGGCCAGGCTCCACAGCCGCATCCCAGAAGCAGGGTTACGGCTGAGAGTCGTAGCCATGTCCAGCCTTGTGCACAGCCTGCCCAAACATTACCATATATTATCTCTAACTTTAAGCTAGGCAACAGCCTATGATTGGCGAGACTACATGGCCGTCGTGGAGGCGGAGCTGCGGCTGAAAGGCGCAGTCGTTCAGCGATGCGCAGCCTGATGCACAGCACACACTCTGTATTTCTGCCCGATTGTTGGCACCAATCTCTGACCTGATATCTTCTCTCCCTGCGTCTCTGACATCTCTAACGTCCTAGTCGGCGTCTATAGCTTGTCGTCGCTATTATACTCTAAACTCTCGGATGCCTGGCTTGTTTTCTCAGACGCCATTCTAAACCCGACCCCTAATCCCGTCTACTCTACCAAGCAGAATCGGAAATAACACGACCCGTTCATCCTTCTTGTCTACTCATGTTGTACTTCGTTGAGCCTTCGGTTCCGCAGCCTCTCAACAGCAGCCATGTCCAGTGCTCTGACCAAGCCCCCTTCGCTAAAACCTGAGATTCGTCTCGCCCAGGCCTTATCCAAGTTCGAGGCCGACCTTTCCAACGACGAAAAGTCTGCATTCCGCACGCTCAAGTCGCAGTCACTTTCGACCGCACCCGGCCCAGACGATGTTATGCAGTTAACGGCTGAGATGGATCGTCGCATATCAGCCAAGTTTAGCAGTCGATGTTTTGGGCCCCGCTTTACCAATTTCCTTCAGGGAGTCCAGCAGTTTGCTGCACTTGGGGATGTTGTAATTGGCGGTTCGCAAAATCTCATTGCATGCGGCGTGTGGTCAGTGGTGCGCATGTCTTTATTGGTTCGTCTTTGTGCTTAGATGTTGTCACTGTCGTTTGCTGATACCCCACAGTCATTCGTCAACCTACAAAACTATATTGACAAGCTCTCCTCGCTCTTTATGGAAATCGGCCGAGCTGCACCACGTTATCAAGCAATAGCCCTCTTATATCCTCGGTCCAAAAAGCTGCAATCGTATCTCAGTGAATATTTCATCTCAGTGGTTGGGCTATGCCATTACCTGTTCAAGTTTGGACACAAGTCGACCGTCATGCAGTTCACGTCTTCCCTAAGCGATTCGCATTTGAAAAATTTCCAGACTGAGCTGGACAGGTGGGCGAATTCAATCAAGGAAGAAATGTATCTGGCTGAATTCCAAGAGAGCTCCGGATCCAGGGCCCTGATCATAGACTTCTTCAAGTCCAGTTCACGTCGACAGGACCATGCAACCCGTATGCAAGTGCTTGACTTCTGCTCCAAATACGACCACGAGACAGCCTGGAAACAAACTAGGAAAGCTGGCAACTCGTCTTTCTATGCGCGATCCATGGATTACCAAGAGTGGAGAGATAGTTCGCATTCTCGCACGCTCATGTACACGGGCAAGCTAGGTTCGGGTAAGTCCGTGATGCTGGCAAACATTGTGGACGACCTGCACCTCTTTACGAAAAAAGAACAATACCCCGTGGCGTATTTCTTTTGCAAGCACGACGTAATGGAGAGTTTGCAGGCGCGAACAATCATTGGTTCGTTGGTACGACAACTGTTGCGTACTATTCCAGACCTTGGCGCGCTTTCGATGTACTGCGAAGATACCAACGCCAATTGCACTACTGAGACCTTACTCGAGTTACTCTTCAAAGGCTTTCCCTCGCATCGCAAAGTATACCTTGTTCTTGACGGCTTGGACGAATGCAATTTGGAGGAGAAAAAAGTATTGATACAAGCCGTCCGGAAGATTCAAGACAGGTTACAGGTCCTGTTGTGTGCTTCTTTCCGAGAAGAACCAAACAATGGCCTGCAGCTGATTACCGGTCGACTCCTCAACGCTCGCGTTGTTTCATTACCTGACGATAATCCCGACATTGAAGCCTTCATTGAAGCCGACCTAGAACGCTGTCTCGCCCAAAGACTTCTAACAATCGGGGACCCAACTCTGATCCTTGAAATCCAAGATGCCCTTCTGAAAGGCTCGCAGGGAATGTTTCTCTGGGTAGCTCTCCAGATACAAACTCTGTGCAGTATGAAGACCGACCGCGCTATCCGAGAGGCACTGGAGGATCTCCCTAAGGACCTTTCAGAGACATTCGCCAGAATTTTGCAAAAGTCAGGAAGCTCGGACCCATCACTTCAAGTGAAAACGCTGCATCTTGTGCTGGCGGCTTGTCGACCTTTGACAACGGACGAGTTGCGGGAGGCTCTAAGCGTTACTCCCGGGGATGCTACCTGGGATCCTGCAAACATCATCAATGATGTCTACTCAGCACTATCCTGCTGTGGATGTCTTGTGATTGTTGATGAGGAAGAGTTCACAGTCAGAGTGGTTCATCACAGCTTCAAGCAGTACATCCTCAATGGGCCTGGGAACATGAATCATACAGAGTTTTCGCTCAGGGAAGCGCAAAGGACCATGGCGGACACTATTGTCACCTATCTCAACTATGGCGTCTTCGGAACTGAGATATCGAGGGTCAAGGTCACTCCAATCATGGTGCAATCCGCACCATCCAAGATCATACAAGTCGCTATGCAGTCTTCGAGCAGTACGTCTTCCCTAGCCATGAAATTTCTCAAATCTAGGAAGCAGCCTGCATTCGACATGAGTAAAGTCCTCGCAGCAACGCAAAACATCTTCCGCTCTGAGAATGGCTATTCGTTCAGGTTCCACAATTATGCGGAAAAATACTGGCAGGACCATATTGCTTACATATCAGGACATGACACGGCTATGTTTAGGCTTTGTTCAAAGCTTTTCCGCAGCCAGGCGCACAAACTCAACGACCTGGATCGGGATTGGTGCTCGCGTTTTCAGTGCGCTGCCCAGAATGGTAACAAGGATATTGTGACGCTGCTCATGCTTCGAGACAGTGATGTCGATTTAAATGCCAAGGATAAAAAGGGAATGACGCTGCTGCACTGGGCGGTATTAGACGGATATCCGAGTGTAGTTCAGATGCTGATTGATACTGGCGTCAACGTTGGTGTGCAGGATCATAGCAAAAGGACACCATTAATTACAGCAGTATCAAGGGAACATGGGGAGGTTGTTGAGGTACTACTCCGATCTGGCAAGGCTGATGTAGATGCGAAAGATGAACATGGTCGGACAGCACTGGTATTTGCAGCAACGGTGGGGTACAGGGACATGGCCGAATTGCTACTGACTATTGGAAAGGCAAACGTTAATATGAGGACGCAGGATAACGAAACAGCATTGATACATGCGGCAAGGAGGGGAGACATGGACATGGTTGAGCTACTGCTCACCACTGGAAAGGCGGACGTTAATATTCAAGGATATGGTGGAGAGACGGCGTTGATCTGTGCAGCAAGGAGGGGAGACTCGAACATCGTTGAGTTACTGCTTACCATTGTCAAGGCTGATGTTCATGGGGTGAACGATCAGGGAAAGACAGCATTCGATGTTGCGAAGGAACTGGGCCATCTTTCCTCAGCCACGCTATTAAAGGAACACATTGATCGGGATGCAGATAATATATTGGGGACTAATCTAACAGCTGTAGGTCTCATCTGAACATAGTATAGTAACATGTATAGTCTAGACTTGCAACTTGCACAAATCGTCCGAGTTCCGATCTGAAACAACAACAACTATCAATGTGAATCACACGGCTACAGTACGGCGACACCACTACACAATCCCACTGTAGCGACGCAACCTCTAAGAAAAAGAACAAAGTTTATAAAAATACTGGCCCCATCACATTCAGCACAGCATAAAGATATACTTGCCTTCCACAAATCGAAAGCATTACCGCCCGCCCCAGATCAGCAGCATCTCACGCCGATCACCACCATATATACCACATATAGTACACCAAGTCCACGTAATCAGCAATCCCCACGCGATCCCGACCCCCGATGTACCCGCGCAATCTCCCTGCCACCCTTCTAGTGCCCACACACCCCGAAAACAGTAAAAATCACGAACCGGTTTCGCATTGCACTCCCTTTCCACGTAATCGCATCGCCTCGCCTGTTTCACACCTCCCCCATCGCCACCCACACAATTGAAACAAGCGCTGGCCCGAAATCCGCGCCTCGGTATTACGTGTGCAGGTTCCCGCGGTATTGGTATGTCAGGCCGGTAAATGCGGTGGGTAAGCAAGTAAGTAGGAGGAGGAGGAGGAGGAGGAAGAAGCCGGTTTGGGCGGACGGAATATGTGCGTGTACCATGATGGCAGCCAAAAGCCGAATGAAAGCATGAAAGAAGGGGGGAAGAAGAAAAGCGGACCGACTTTGTGTGGACGAACGACAGCAATGACAGGAACGACAGGAACGACAGGAACAAGCTGGGATGCGCTGTGCCGGGATGCACGGGAAAACCGCGTGCACGCTAAGCAAGGACGTAAGCCTCCACAAAAAAAAAAGAGACTTGGGGTCAAACTGACTAGAAAAGAAAAATGAAACAGAAAAAAAGACGGTTCCGGGGTCATGGTTCTCTTGCCCTGTTCCTGGGTGTTAGTATCACACTTGGTGACTGGAGTAATGCGCCTTGTTCCCTGCGGGATGGTGGACGACGGGCCGAAAGGGGAGAGAAAGAGAAAGAGAAGGAGAAAGACAGAGGGAGCTGAGGATCGGGCGGAAGGGGGGCCGGGGGTCGTGGCAGGAAAGTCTGTGTGTGTGTGTGTGTGTGTGTTCGGTGAGGATCGGGGGAGGGAGATGGGGGAGTCGGGATGTGGAAGGGCAGTTCCGATGGCATGTTCCGATGGATGGATGGATGGATGGGTGAGTAGATGGATGGACGGATTGGGAAATGTAAGCTTGCTCGGATGATGGCAATGGACTGCGGATCCGAGAAGGGAATGAAAAGAAGAAGAGAGAGAGAGAAAAAAAAAGGGTAGATTCTTTCATGTTTGATTCATTAATTGCCACTGCAGACATATATGATTTCTATCTTTTCTTTTACCGTACAAAGGCACCGCCTCCACTGGCGCCCAGCTGGTTGCCCGTCATCCAGCCGCTCTCCGGCAGACAGACGATGCCGACGATGCCAGCGACTTCGTCGAGAGTACCGGGCCTGCCGCCAATCTCACCGGCGAGTCTGAGCATGGCGTCTGTGTCGACGCCAGGGCGTTCTCGCGCCAGTGGGATCAAGGCATTGTACGGAGGTGCCTCACAAAAGTTTTGTCCCACGCTAATCTCGGCGCTTCGGCATAACTCTTCTTGGCGCAACTCCCACCTTTGAGCTGAGTAGCTGTACGATTTGTCTGTATCTATCGTTACAATGTCTCCTAATACTGATCCTTACACCCGCACCTTAATTGTGGCGTTAAAGTCACCTTCTGTTGGCAAGTCTACATCACAGATCTCTGAACTTACTGGTGTTCATCCTCGTACGGTCAATCGTATCTATAGTAGAGCTATTGAGGCTGGTTTCGAGCCAAACGTTCTCCCTCTTAAGATCCTCCCAGAGCA